CTAATTTTTATCAGTCATCCGCTGTAAAATAATTCGGTGCAATATCGCATTGAAAAAAAAAAAAAAAGTTAATGTCATTTTTTATTTTGTGTAAGTTGTTTGAAGATGTGTGTTAAATTAGGATCTGAATTAAACCCAAACATTTTCCGAAAAATAACGTTATCAACTTTATTTCGTTTTTTTGGGGCAACATTCCTTGATTACAGATTTTATGTATGGGGAAAATTAAAGTGTTTTATACTCGGAACACTATGGAATTGAATTATTTTACTTTCCCATCGCTTTAAGGGCAAGTATTTTGCTAACTACCAAACGTGGGAAGTACGTTTCCAATTTCTATTTCTTTATGATATTAGTATAAACTTTTAAACTAGGACAGGATGTTAACTGTTCATTGTCATCATGTTTTAAAAATAGAGTAAATTTTTTTGGGGCATTTTTTAACAATTTATATTAAACGTTGAAATTTAGTCTAGTATTTTTCTACAAAACATGTTTTTTTCCTTCTCTTTTTGTGACTGGTAAACATAGGATATATATAGGAAGGTAATTAGTATAGTATACTACTAAGTTTAGCCTACTTCCTTTTTGTATCTGTCCCATTTTAAAAAAAAAAGAATAATTTGATAAAAAATTATTGACCGATTGTTATAAACATGAGCAAGAAAAAAGGCCAATTTATAATACCTAAGTTTTTATCTGTGTGTGTATGCTTGCTCTCTGTCTGTGTGTGTGTGTGTGTGTGTTTGTTTTCTGTGCAGTAAACTATTTTTTTTTTAAAATCACTTAACTTTAATCGTTTAAATTAACGTAGCTTTAAAAAACCCCACAGAAATTATTGAATTTTTATTTTAAAAAGTTGAACTAAATATTGTTTGTTAAGAGTTTTAATTTCCTTGAATGAGTTGAAAAAATGGTTGAAAAATAAAATATAAATCAATTTCTTCTTATAGACATAAAAGTAACTTTACAAATGTTGCCGGGCCAGACTGCAAAAATTACCCAAAAGCTGCCATCCAATTCTAAAGCTAGGTAACAGGCATACACTTTCAATTGTTATCTTTTAAATACTTGACTCAATAACAAAGATAATAAAAAAAAAACCTGCTATAATTTTGGAATGCTGGATCATAACATGCCTGGAAACATACCTGTGTTCACCAACCTACTGGTACCAGCATAATGTTATATAAGTGTGCCATACACCAATTTTCAAAAATAAATTATCTTTAGACAAGAATATTAGTTAAATCTAAGAAACCTGGTCTATCATTACTGCAATATGCTAAATTTTGTAATCATTGCATTAGAGTAATATGTGCATCACAACAAAAATTCAAAGGCACACATTTCCAACAAATAAATAACTATAGGCCTATATATAGTTCGATATACATAGATATAGATACTAGCCAATATACTCGGCGTAGCCCGGGATTGCATTAGAACCCCGATCCTGGCGTGACCCCAATCCCATTTTGACCCCGATCCCGCGCAGTCTGGTTTCCCGGCGTGATCCCATTACCTTGTGCCTCTGGATCCAGGGGGAATACAGATCCTGGTGGAATCCCGATCCCGTCAGTAGCTCGATCCCAGTGGGATCCCGATCTCGATGGATCCCAAGCCCAGTGGGCAACGGATCCCCTTAGAATATCATCCATTTTGTGGTTGGGGGTGGCCACAACATGAGGAACTGTATTAAAGGGTCGTGGCAAAAGGAAGGTTGAGAACCACTGCTCTATGGGATCATGCTCAGTGCGAGTTTGTTCCAATAAACTTTTAGATCCCGTTATATATCCCCATAAAACAATAAAGAACCTTCCGGAACAAGCTAGAGTAAATTTGATATCCTCAATGAAACCTGTAAAAAAATTACTAATCTACGTAATTATTTTAAATGTGAAATATTATACAACTAAATTGCACTACTATAACTATTTTAATTAAAATAGGGGTCCCGGTTGGGGGGGGGGGGGCATTTAATAAAGTACCGTTTTAGTGATGTCTGAGATAGGGAGCCCTATAAAAATCATTCAGATAAATTATGGAGTTAAAAGTTGTCCCATTCAAATTGGTTCAATAATATATGGATGATATTATATCGTGTTTTTTTTTAATTATCGAGCTTTCTAGACAATATTGGTGGATATTAATATTATTAGTTTTAAATCCACCAATATTTCAATACGGACAATGAAGTGTATTGCTACCACGCTAGGACTATATCAATCAATTAACATAGAACATCTAGTATTGTCTAAGTATATTGATATTTATATAGCTTATATAAGGACAAATGATCCCCCCCCCCCAGCCCCAGAGGAATGGATATTATGATTTCAGTACCCTTCAGGATTTGAATATTGATAATCAAGTATATGTGTACTGAGTTTTGTCAATATCCATATCTATTTGTGTAGGAGTATTTGTTTTTAAATTTATTTATATAGCTCATCTAAGAAAAAAAAAACAATTTGGGGCCCCCGGCCCCAAACATCATGTTTTAAAAAGTTCATAAACCAAAACCCCCGACCCCCAGTATTTGATTCTGGATAATGATAGATATATTATGTGCCAAGTTTGGTCAAGATCCATCAATCCATGTAAAAGCCTTTGTGGAACAAAGCCACAAACAAACCAACAAATCCACAAATCTTCACTTTTATATTATTTAATTATATTATATAATATATATATAAACAAAAATAATAAATATATACAAAAAAAAAATTTAAAACTTTAATAAAATAAATGAAAAACAATATGTGCACACAGAGACAAGACATTATCCCAGGTTTGTTTTTCAGGGTCATTGAGGATATTGCAATTGCATAAAAAGCCATGGAGTTGGAGAAAAATGAATCAAATCAAGAAACAGATGGATCCAGAAATAAAATGAAATCTACAATGGAGTTGCTGCCTCTCACAGGACGCAAGGACTAATAAACTCACCTGTGAAATAATGTATTGAAACACAATTATTTTAGTAAGAAAAATAGCTCATCCATGATGATGCTGATGAATATTATAACTAACATGGGGATCAGATGTAAATGTATACCACTAAATTTGATGCAGCAAAACTGCAGGGAGTTCCCATATTTTGACGTAGCGACTGAGCAAAACTACAGGGATTTCACATATTTTAAATCTCTGTTTATAAATCTCTCATATATATGTGTGTTTTTTTTTTTCCCTGATAAAATATTTAAAATAGTGATATGTTAATTTCAACAAAAATTTAAGATCACTTTTGAGATGTTGAAAATGTGAGTCATTGATAAAACAATTCAATTGGTTTAAGAAAATCATCCTTTACATGATATTAAAAAATTGTTTTAGTCTAATGGTCTAATTTGTGATATGAAGGTTACAGTTACAGTGAGATGTCACTACCCTGCAAATAATTTTTAATTAAGCAAACAGAATTATCTGTTGCAGCAAATAATAAAACGGAGCACCATCATACAAATATTGTAGGCTTTCTTACAAACAAAAAAAGATCAATTTAATATTTGAATGTTAACAATAAAACTAATGGAATGTCCATTTAATTAGAAATACACAAGTCCTTTTGGGAATTAAATGCTTATGAAATGAGTGACTTCTAACATAGTAACAAGATAAAAACAAGAATGGCTGATTGACTGACCCCCCCCCTCCCCCCCCCCCCCCGATCTTTTAAAAAGAATAACTGATACTTTTTCAGAAATTAGAGAGTAAATGTAATAGATCCCTGGGTTTAGAGAAGTAAATGTGATCAATGCAAGGGTTTAGAGCAGTAAATGTGATCAATGCAAGGGTTTAGAGAATTAAATGTGAGAGATGCCATGGTTTAAGAAGTTTATGCATGACAGGAAGTAATCACAGTGGTAGCTATAAAATATTTTTATCGAAGTATTAGAAGTTTATGCATAACAGGAAGTAATCACAGCAGTAGCATGGGCTTTTGAATTTCAAATAAAAATTGAACAACCTTATTTCAAAATAACTTAATAAATGTACTCAAAATAGTGACTCACAAATTAAATATGACTTGTGCAAAATCTAAATAAATAGTTTAAATACATTTTTTTATAAAAGATAAGATAAGATTCTTTTATTGATCCAAATAAATGGAAATGTTTTTTGAATGCATTATACATTTTCAGCTAAAAAAATAAAACAATGTGAACACAAGACATTTATAATAAATTATTTCAAACAGCCATTCAGTGAGTTCTCTTAGCCAAATCGGGGACTTATTAGATCTCATTCAGATGTGTGAGTTCAGAGGAAGCATGCCGGAAAATTCATACAGATTGGGGAACAAAAGAATTTTTATAAAAGTTGTTGTAAAAGGAATTCCATCAAAATATATTTGATAAAACTTCCACCAAAAAAAAGTATATTTTATTATTATATTTTTTTTTTAAATGGTTAGTGTTACAATTGTACCATCTATAGGAGAACCTGTGTTATTTGGAACAATTCCACCCCACCCAAACATCACAAAATTGTATTAACATAAAAAAATTGTATCACACATTATCACAAAATCGCGATGTTCCTCACAGAAGCTATACATTGTTTATGGAGGCCCCCTTTCTCAAATTGTGCATTGCCTCCACTGTTAAAATTGCAACAAATATTTGGTAAATTTACATTATTAAGTATCACTTCAGTCAGTGAATAATCTAAAAATAGTCAAAAATTTAAAAAACTGGTCTTGGTGCTCTGAAAGTTTGAATGGCTGAATTTATTTATTTCAAAACTTTACCATGATGCAGTAAGCACAAATGATTGTCACTGTAAGTGAACGTTTCATTCAAACTCAAGGTCAGATGGATGTTCCCCACCTTGGTATAAAAAATTAATATTAACACACACACAAAATGTAGGCTATTCAAGTCCAGGAAGCTGATGTAAAGAATAATTTACAATAGCATTGATTTTATTACTAAGATTTGCCTGGTTTATAACAGGAAATATGCTTTCACTGTTCACATGAATTTGCAGGCCTACAGTTAAAAACTTAATAAATTCCAACACCAAAGTCTCACTGCCTGGGGTATAACTATTTATTTGTTATGCATTTGATTATCATAGCACATAAGTAATGAAATATATTTTCACAAGCAAGCGCCACATCATTTTTATCTGCTGGTCCCATTTGAACTATGTAAGTGCAATCCACATACACCTTAGTCATACAGACAATGCTAATAATTTAAACAGAATCATAAAAATTCAAAAAAAAACTTTCCACTTATTGCAACAGATCTGTATCTTGCCATTCTTTGATTAAAAACTAAAAGGAATGTTCATAAACTAGTGCTAGGCCTTTCTGTCATTTCCAATTACGTGTTCTGTATTTTTCTTTCCCTATGTGAGACAAAGAAAATGAAATGAGGATTTAATTTTTTTTAAATAGTCTCTTTAAGCATTAAATATGGTGTCAGAAATGTTGGGGTAAGGTGTTGTGTGCCAAGAGGGTGGTTGCTTAGGGTGCACAATTCTTTGAGAAGCCACATTTAAAAAAAAAAGAAAGAGAAGCTAGTTGTAGTATAAAAAAAATAGCACCCAGGAAATCTACCACCAATGATTTAATATTCTAAGTTTCTTTTAAGGTAATGGGAAAAATAAACATTGCACAAAATAACATTTTAAATCAGTTTTCTTTCTAAATGCAACCATAATAGACAGAAGGGTTTGAAAACATGAAGAGGCCTGGTGTGCCTAGATGTGATCTTAGCTGTACTTAATTGCAAGAAAGAAGCAGAGAGCAAATGAAAGCAATAAGGATCGCAATTTCAAAACCAACACCACAGTTCCATATGCCTAACAAACACATTGCCTTCCAGCAAATCCAGATATTTTTTTATATCCAGAACTCATTTTTATCAATGAACAAATTCAGCAGACACATGTTAAATAGAGTTGAAAGCCCTCTGCACCACATTGTCTTTTTTTTCTTTTGTTAGGTAAAATCTGATGAATAAACAGATTGCCAACTGGACATGTTATTTGTCTCAGTCAGTGTACAAAGGGTAGCTAGAAGAAAGATTAACTAATTTTGTTGTGGCATTACCTATCTTTTTTTAATACCATAGCTCAACAGTCAGTTGTGAAAGAAGTGTATGAAAACACTTACAATTTGAAACATATGCTAAATAACCTAGAAATACTGTCAACTGAAAGAGATTTCAGTGGGTTTCAAAGCTGTTATGAACAAATTGTAAGAGGGAATTTTAATGAATGACTGTCAGGTGTCTATCAAAAAAAAAAAAAATGTTTTGAAAACCTGAAAGTCAATAAAGTTCACAATTTATCTGCAATTCTTTTTGACCCTGAAAAATGGATGAGCACGAAAGATGCTGGAATTTTTTCATAGGGTAGGCTACTAAGTGCTTCATGGAGGTCTTAACATCATTTTTAACAAAAGAAAACAACAAAAGCACACACGATTTATAACTTGATTTTTTTCCCCCACAGGTAAATAACTAGTTTTAAATTATTTAATTATGTTTGAATTAAATTAATCTTACTTTAAAAACATTAGTATTTTCACTGAATTCAATAAATGTTCTTTTGGGCTTTAAAATATAGTTTAATTAAAAAATTTCACTATGATTACACAGTCGATTGATATCAAAAGTCATTTGAAGTTTGATAATTCTATTTTTATATTTGCAGTCTCAGTTATATGACTTGTTTTAATTTAAAATATGTATCTTACAGTTATCAGAAGAAACAAAACAACAGAAAAGAGGGAGCAGCTATTCACCTGACTAAAGCAAATATTGGAAATTGTAAGCATAAAAAAAAGGGTTGTTAAAAAAAAAAAATAAAAAAAAATAAAAAAGAGAAAGCCATGAGTAGTGTGTGGAACCAAAAAATTAGCATACCATTAGAGTTACAATTTTTTCAAATCAATATAACCTTGTTCCTGCAATATAAATGTCATATCTTAGTGGTCTAAGGTACTTAAAATAAATATTTTAAGTAGTAGATTTACAAATGTTTAAATCATAATTTATTGCTAAAACTTACAAACTTTTTACTAGCTAAACATGTCTCTAATAATGCAACTAACAAGGACCAATAGTTTAAGAAATATTTACTCTTTAATTAATAATAAACAATATTATAGAGGAAGTCAGGGCAAATTAAAAATTTACAATCATATTATTATTAATATAATTTTTTTTAAAATTGGCTGATATGAGCATTTTCAAGAGTTTCAGTTGTGTCTGATGCATAGCCAAACTTTGTGCCATTCACCCTCAACATCAGGATGTGAAAAGAACTCAATGAAGGCCTGATTCCACACTGTTGTTACTACAATGAATTGAATTTGAGCCCATGGTCTCAATGATTGATAATAAATGACCTTTTGTGTTCAGAACATAGACTTTTTAAACATTAGCTGCTTCTTTCTGAAGTTCATTTAATACAAAAAATATTAAAAAAGCAAAATTGCATGATTAAGTTTTACAAGATATTTGATGAAGTTGTGAATATTTTTGAAGACATAAATGCTTCTCTTTGTGCTGACATAACACACAACAGGCTAATGATGTCAATCGTATTAAAAATAAATTGGTCTCATTTACTTTGGTATAAGAATTAAAAAGTGCAACATTGGTCTATGGACGCTGTAGCGTAATAATTTCCAGACTGCATGAGCTGGAAGAGAATGTTGAGATGCAATATGATTAGCTGCAAGTGTATTCCAATTATTTTGGATATGCTTCTTAATATTCTTTGCCATTTCTTTTGATAAGAATCGCAGTAGGAGGGACAAATTCATTCTTATGACTGAAGCCAAATTTTAAGAAAAAGTACCAGAATATTGGATGCAGGATGTGATTTTCTATGGCTGTCCTGGATCTGTGAAGGTGGTTTAAAAAGCCTCTTGTTGCATTCCCAACATTTTTTTTGCCAGAAGGTGGTTTCAGTGAGCTCAATAAACTTTTCTCCAAGCAAATAAATAGATTAGTAATTTAGACACAGTGAATTAAGTTTCTCTGAAGAGACTTTTATCATTTTACTGACTTCATACATTGAATTATGAATGTTTGAGTGATATTATTTTTACTATTTACTCGAAGTAAGTATCCTTGACTTAAGCTTGTTTAAATTGAGGGAGAGCTGCTCAATTTGTCAGCCTCACTCTCTCGTTCTTTCCTATTTGATCCAATGGCAAGACTGGAAATAGACCAGGATGCAGTAGATGACCAGCAGTGTTTCTACTGTCTCACTGTGCTCTTAATGTCTTCCACATCGCAGGAGTTGTCTGAATTATCATCGTGTCCATGTCATACTGCCTATGGGACTCCATCTCGGGGATCGATTTCAGAGTTTGCCATCTCTTAGATGAGTTGACATCCAAGGTTAACGAGCCCCATATAGCCATGCTGCTGGTAGTGTTTTTACTTTTAGGGATTGTTCGAGTCATTTTAGACCAACCGGCCACCCAGGACCCATGAATGTTTGAGTAGTGAAGACGTTAGATATCTAAAACTCTTGCTAAATAACTTTTCTAATTTATCCTTTAATAAATAATGTAATATATGTTACAATTTATCCATTAATTGCATAGTTATCTTCCAATTCCAAAGAGGGTAATGCAAACTATTTTTTTCTGAGAATGCTTATGATGGTGTTTGAAAAGGGGGTTCAAAGGATGAGTTTATGACTCCAAAGGGGTGGCGACCAGAAAAAGTTTTAAACCAATGCTGTTAATGATTATTTTTTGTCAATAAAATTGTAACATCATATTTAAAACATCTTTGATCAAATAGTTTTTAAAAAATAATGGAAATAAGTTGTTGACTATGAAGTTGACCAAATGCATTTTATGTTAACATAATTTCTTATTTTTAAGTTTAGTTTACCACCTCACACGTGTCTAAGCATTTAAGCTAGGTTTCTGTGGGTTAAAAATTTTTAAAACCACTGGTCTAGTAAATGTTTAATAAATATTAAAATTAATATAGAATCAGTAGTGACAAAATATTTTGGAAATGTTTAGTAGTGACAAAATATTTTGGAAATGATTAGTATAAACAGAGAGGGAATAAAATTATGTTTCCTTTGGAACTTATAAAAAAAGAAAACAATAACAGAAATAAATAAAGAAACCTACCATCCATCTTTCTGCAGGTTGTTCAAAAAATGACTCAGGAAACTCAGGTTTAGTTTTACGTTTTTGTCGCTGGGGGCCAATATTAGGCTGAGAGAAAATGAAAGTTGTGTGTTAAATGAAAAACGAATCTGTCACATATTCTTCAGTACTGTGAAGTCAGAGTTTTTAAACTCATCCACACCAGGATTAAGTTCTCATGCTTCCTTTTTAGAAAATCTATAAAAGAGACTTTTAAAAGTTTTAGTCCTATATAAAATATAAATTACATGTATTTATCAACACTTTATGCAGTATGGGGCAGGCCCTTTTATATTATCATACAAATTTATCTTATCTATTCAGTGGAAATTAGGCTAATTAGGTGAATAATATATATGAAGTTTTAGAATGACTGAAGATTTTTTTTTTAAACTTTACATTTTTAAATTACAATGTCACCTCAACCACTGAGTTTCTATCTTGAGTCAATTTTAATTTCTGACCATCATTTCTTTAAATCCCTCACTCTATGCATATTAATTTTATAAAATTTCATTGATGTAAGATTAATATTAAATTAACTTTGAAAAATTAAAGTTTGTTTTTTTTATATATATCTAAGAGCATAGATATTATCACACAGATCTGGAAAAAGTTCCCTAATGTTCTGATTTTTCTATTTATCTTAATTTGAAAGACCAATATGTATTTAGCTATAGGCTTAGTATATTTTTGGAATAAGAACAAATACATAAAAAATTATTTTGATTTAAAGTTGTTTCAGAACCATCACAAGTTAAGGTGTTGTGGTAAATATTCATCATTTAAACTTAATATTCAAAATTTTTATTAAATTTATAAAACATGTTTTAATACAAACCTCATCGAGAACAATTTCGAAGTCAGGGAGACCTGTGGGTTTTTTCAAAGCTTCAAAACAGAATCGAAGTTCAAGCAGCTTGGATTTATCATTATCAAAGGTTAAAAAGGGCTTCTTGTATACACAGTTTGTCAGACCAGATCTGTGACTAGCTATAAAAAATGTAAAAAAAAAAAAACCATATGTATAATTTTCTGATAAAATTATAGTTAGCCACAATGAAAATCAACTAACAATAAGGAATATTTCTTTTAAAAAATATTGACTTTTTTGAATTTTTGATAATAAAAGCTTTGTAACTGTATATAATGAAGAGGAGTTTTTATGATGTCTACCTCTAGAAAAATAATGTATGACTTATGAAGGTCAAGTCATGAAACTTGTAATCTTCAAGTAAATGACCTTTGCATCCCTGTGAATTATTTGTTACTGTTAATAAATGGTATTGCTACCCTAACACAGTCATTTGCACCACATTAGGGTGATAGATTTGCTTGAACATCATACTATGAAAGCTAAGAATTAACTTCAGTTGAATAAATTATTTGCTAGCAGATACTAAATAAAATTACTGATATATTCTTTATAATAAATTTAATAAATTTTTGTTTAAATTCCCCTCTTTCAAAAGATATAAAGTTCAGCTCAAGTGAGAATTCTGACAAAGAGGAAATTTTAAAGCTTTTTATAATCATAATTCTAATTTGCATCAAATTTCACGGCATTAGGGGCCTTGAGTGAGCAAGATCATTTACAGGACAAAATGAATATTGAGCTTTGGATAATTTTAAGCTCCAGTTTAGCCTATTTTGACTAATACATTTTCAATTAAAACCCAGACACAAAAAAAAAAACAACAACTGGTACCTTAGCCCAAGACAGGAAAGGAAAATTCTTTTATGAAATGGAAAAGCAATAATTTTAAATTACCTTGGCTTTTCACTGCCTTTTTTAATGACCTGTCATGGGTTTCTAAAATTTGAGAGGTAACATCACGTGAAATGTTTGTTTTTCCTCCAGCAAGCAAAGTTTTGATAGGGTGAACCTGAAATGGGGAAATAGGGTGAGAATCTTTAGCATTGGGTTATCGTGGGTAAATAAATCAATTTAATCATTTCAGAAACTAAAGAAGAAAGCTCTTAAGTAAGAAATAACTTTCAAAGACAATAGAAAGAGTTGCTTAATGAAGGATATTTAAATGTTGTTGCTTTTCTGTATCTAAAGAATGGTGCATGTCCTTGATAATTTCATGTGTTATATGGCTTCATGATTCTTTGTGAAATATTCTATAATTTATTTCTTCATGCATGGGGAAGGACTGAAATGTGCTGTATTTTGTGTATGCTGTGTTCAGCAGAGCATTTTTTAAGTAGTTCAAAGGTTGATTGATAATTTGTTACTAGTCATTCAAGTCTAATAAACCAGTATCCAGTAAACAATCCAAGTGATTCCAAATGAGCACAAATAAAAATGCCAAAGGCTAGTAAGTCACACAATGAAGCCAAAGCTTCATATTAAATGTAGAATAAGCTTAAATATGTATTTTTTTAAAATAATTGTGGTATTTACTGAACACACTTTCTTTGCATGATTCATTTTAAGAATTTTAAAAATTATTTTCTACTGTTTACTACGTTTATTATCTTTTTTAAAAATTTAAATAAAATTTTGTTCATGACATGTCTTTTTAGCATTACAATTTTAATCTTTAAGTTATCAACAAAAGAAAAATTATTTTCTTTTTCAAAAAAGAATGTTTACAAAAGAGCGGGTAAAGTGACTCAACTCTTTACCTAGGCATAAAACTCAGCAATTGTTTATGTTATTAATTATTACTATTAGTATTAAACAAAATGTTAATTATTTCATTGATGTTCTTGGATAAGAGGGTCACTTGGTGACAACTAAGGAAGGAAAAAAAGTATAGATGGCTTGAGTGAGAAGGATGCATGTTCTGCAACCAATCCATCATCTGCTGTGGAAGAAGGAGGATGTTATGTGATGTGAAGTCACACTACAGGTGAATTCCAGCTTCAGCTGATTTTGAAGGTCAGCCAGAGGCAGTCACAGGCTGACACAGGATGAGAGGTTCACTTGGGCACATCAAAAATTATGTTGGACATACGGACAAGAGAACCTAACGGATTTCTTAATTAATTATAAAATATTCCAAAAGCAAACCCACTCCCGTGGAAAAATAATTTATTTATTAATGACCAAACTTTAATATTAAGATTTATAATAATAAATTAATCTAACTTTTAAATTATTGTAATTGCATTACAGTAACAAAGACGGGTAATAGATATATTCTTTGGTCTATTTTTTTCTTCTAATAAACATTTCTTTTTCCTCAATTCTTTAAAAAAAATTGATTTGTTAAATTTTCAGTTGCTATTATGCAACATTGCCATGATTAAATCAATATGCATTAGAGTGTTGATTTTATGAATATGGATTATCCAGAACAGTGGTTATTTAAAGTGCCAGGCTGAGTCTTTATAAAATATTATTATTATCATACACAATGGGCATGGCTTAAAGCATTGGTGTACAAACAACAGAAGACCAATCCAACTCCGGTTGCACAATCAAGTTAAACTCCAGATACACACTGTGCATGCAGTGACCAAGCTGGGATGAATTGATCTTCAAGCTCGGTATTTAATGCACATCACATAATTCACAACTTAGGATTTTATCCTAAGCGGACAAAAGAATTTGTATGTATTTCAGTCCTCTCCCTGACGGAAAGAATTCATCCTCAACGTGCCAACCCTAAGTATATGTGATGAAGAGGGTGGGATGTATCATCTAAAATGGGTTTAGTTTTACAATAACATCTTTCTTCAAAGAGTTCTTCAAGTGAAGGATGTTTAGTTTGTGTTATGTTCCTAGCTTTCTTGATTAGTCGGTTTATGCGGTGTTTAATATCAGACGTTGAATATTCCCGCACCAGCGGTGCAGGTAATACTGAAATTAAGTAGGCTTCCAACTGTTGCACTGTAGAATAAGTTAACGACTTGTTTGTTTAGGCCGAATATTGTACCGTTTTTTGAGGTAGAGCAGTCTTTGGTTGAATTTCTTATACAGCATTTGGCAGACTTTGGTGGTATGGTAAATACACAGTACAAAATAAAGCAGCATAGCTTTAAGGTGAGAATATATTCTATTATATGCACTAACTTCTTTAACCTCTTTGTGGTGGTGTTTGGAAAAAATAGGTTTTTCTAATAAATTAGGTCCCAAATATTTTGAAAAATCGAAGCTCTACTTTATAATCTTCATTGAAGGGCGGCTGGAGCCAACTTATGTAGAGGTGACCTCATGTTTTGGTTAGACTTGATACCCCCAAAACTAAGTACAGTGGGGTAGTACATTTGCACATTTTCTATTTTTATCTCTGAGTGACAAGGTTCAATGAGTAGAAATAGGGGATTGAAATAAAAAGAAGAATTAAAACTAAAATGGAAGTAACACACTCTTTGCATCCTTTATATTATTTGACTCTTCTGGATATTTTTTTCTATCAGCAACAAGAATTTTATAATAAGGGAAACAAAACATATTAAGAATGGTTTAAACTGGAAAGCAAATAAACCAAAGTGCACACAATTTTTACACTCATCAAAATAGATCAGTTTAGCTTAAAACTAGAAGAATAATTTTTGGAAATTTTCTTACTCCACTGCATTTTTCTGAACCTTCTGATTGTTCTTCCGTGATAATTTCATCCGTTACGTTACGACCTGATTCTGGGTTGGTTATGCTTATGATTTGTTTTTCTTTGGCCTGGGGAGGTCTGATAGGAGCTGTTGCTTGTGGTATCCCAGGGTTTGGCCAACCATTATTATAGTACATAGCTGTATAGGTTGAGTACCCTTGTGTAGGTTGGGGCTGATATACTGGATATCTTGGTGCATACTGAAATGAAATCCTAAAATTATATATGTGCCTAGACATCTTTACAAAGAATAAGAAAAATTACTACCCACTGGGTCATTATGCCTTTTCCTCTTCTTTTTTAACAAATAAAACATGTAACTAAAGAAAAAAACAAAGAAACACTGAGCTACAAAACCAGAAATTAAAAAATATTTCTGTGTACAAATATTACTGATTTTGAGTAACATACATGGCAAATTAATTTTAATTTTGAATGCTACAATCCCTAGTAATATAAAATATTTTTTTAAAGCAAAATTTTATTCAAGTGACAGTGTCAAAAAATAAACCTAAGCTAAAAACAACTGAAGATAATAAGAAATGTGAACTCACCATATTTGGAATAGCTACATTGTTGCCTTGATTATAATGCTGTATATAAACCATCGCCGGCTGAGGAGCCATCTGCTGCTGACGGGGTCGAAGACCAGGCTGTGCTAGAAAATACTGCAAAGGCAAGGCCTGATTTTATTATATGACTAAAAACTGTAGCATACATACTTAATATGGGCACGTTCATAACTGGGGAATAGTGGGGAAAAGATATATTTAGGTTTGAAATGAAAAGACAGGACAGTTAAAATCTGGTGACCAGGCATCCCGGTTCACCCGGGACAGTCCCTGTTTATGCATCACCCATCCCAGCATGCCCGAAAGGTCCTGAGAGCTATCTACTCATCTCAGAAATAGTAGTGTCATGATTATGAAATTTATAATTACAATTCTCTTGTTGATGCTTCATAATTCTGACATGTGTCGGTTGTGTCAATGTCTTTTTTATTTTATAACAACATGTCAATTGTTAGTAGTTAGTTACTCACTGACAAGATGTTTTTCCTTTTATAAACATTGAACAAGTGACATGTTCAATCTCAAACTCAGAAGTAGGGCCTATAAATAAATTCCTCACAAAACACGTATGGTACTCTTCTACTTTATTGTTTACATATATTTCACCCATGATTCCTGATTAACCTAATCTAAGTTTTGGTATGTCCATAACATACATATACTATATAATAAAGTTGTTCTTTGCCCGTCAGGAAAGCTTTTCTTTGTAGCCTCGTTGGTCTTCTCTGATTTTAATCTATCAGCAACAAGACGAGTGAAGGTAAGATACATTTCCTGTAACTAGGATTAATCTGTTGGAAGACACACACACACACAAAACACAAAACAGAGAATAAATGAAAAACTAATGATTCATTCAGAGCAGAAAAGATGACTAATAATCAGTATAACTCTATTTTATAAATATTTATATTTTTCTTACTAGAGGTTTATTATCTCCTTGGTCTCCCTTTTTATCCACTGAAAATTGTCTACTATTGATATGTTCATCTTTTATTATGTGTCCTGCGGCTGAGTCAGTTATGCCTTTACTTTGTTCTTCTCTTGTCTTGGATGGTCTAATTTTCCCAATTGGCTGCGGTGTTGCTTCAGTTGTAGGGTTCACTTTATCAACATTAGGAGCAGAAGCCTCTAGTTTAGCAGCCAGTGGAACAAAGTCTGCAACTTGACCAGAAGAAAAAGGTTGTGGCACATGTGGAGCAGAGGGAGTTTGTGACACCAACGGGACCTGATGCTGGACCACAGGAGCCGTTTGTTGGTGGACTCCACTTATTTGCGGCATTTGGGGTCTCAGGGGCTGTTGTAATTGGTTCATACGAGGACCATGAAGTGTCGGAACCTGTTGTGGATTATATAATGGGGCTGGAGTAAATTGACAAATTTGTGGAGGGGGTTGGGTTAAGTCAGGCCGCGTCATATGAGACATGTTGGGACGTATGAGTGTAGCAGCAGCATGAGCTGGGTTTGCCTGTTATACTTGTTAAGGAGGGGGTTGCTGGTACTGACTAAATTGCACTGATGCAAAAGAAGCACTTACTTTTTGTGTGTCTGTAACTCTGTTGGTCTCTTCTGGAGGTTTTAATCTATCAGCAACAAGCCGAGTGAATATTTTAACAATTTCCTGATTGCTAGGATTAACCTGTAGGAATAAAATTATAAAAATGTAATTTTAAAAAAAACAGCAAAATTTTATTTTGACATCATTGGTTGCCTGAATATCCAAATTATGGATTAGTCAACACTTTATATACATGACCTTGATTGCCCTCTACCAATTTTCACAGTGGACTGATTAATCTTTTATGTCCACACAATGCAACAAGAAAAATTCATGATTACTTCCTTCCGTATGGGTAAAACACAAATTAAAATAAAAGTAGCTTTGTCAAATTGGGAGTTTTGCTTTTGTTTTTTTTTACACTGATTAATATCACCTTAGTAAATAAAATGGATGATGAATTTGGTAAGAAACAAGATGTAAAAAGTGATAATTTATTAGCTTATACTAGCTGTAGCAATACGGATTATTGTAATGAAATTAGTGACATAAGTATGTTCACTGTCTTATTATTCCTTGCTTAATTTCTGATTCTGATAGACTACGTTGCTGCAACCAAGTACTGGCATATGTGCAACGGTTTGGGAAATAATGTGGCTATCCTAACAGATCATAGTGGGTGCCAGGACAGCCTTGAAATTCTAGAATAGATTTCGAGTCCACAGCAGCATTGTCCAGTTGGTTCCAAACTTGAAAAAAAGAAAAGGGGGGGGGGGGGGAGAGAAAGAGAGAGATGGAGAAATGAAAGGACAGTTTACTAAATCTGGTAGATAGAACCTTTTTTTCTTTTAAATTCCCAAAAGCACAAACTGGCAAATTCAACTTTCAAAAGTGCAGCTGTTTATAATGTATCCTTTGGCATGTCCTATAAGAAAGTCTCGACTAAGAGGAAATTTTAAACTTTCCACTAGTGCAGTGTTTCCCAAACATTTTTTATACTCCGCACCCCTTACAAATAATTTGACATAGAGTTGGAGCATCTTAAGTTATTTAACCAAGTCTCTCATTCCCTACCAATAGTAACATTGCATTTTAAAACGTAAAAATAGTGGACTTCAAAATTTATTTATTGAATTGCTAAGAGAACTGTTGAACTTGGAAAAAAAACTGCTCATTAAAATGTTAATGTAGACATCTAAAAAATGTATTACTTTTACAACATAACTTAAAAGCTAATGTAGCCTCCGTCGTTAAATTTTTGTTCCATGTACCCCTTGAAATGTTACCAAGCACCTTTAAGGTTGGGAGACCCTACATTAGTGGAAACTGTACATAATTTTAATCCCTCTAAAATTATGGGAAATGGTTTACAATAAGTTCAATAGGTTCACATAGCAGACATTTTTATTGTATTTAATAGAACCAAAAATGTTAATTTCTTACAGCAGGCATATCTTCACTGTGTTCCTCTGAATCTACAGAATGTTGTCTGTTATTGATAATTTCATCCGTTATCTTACGACCTGATTCTGGGTCGGTTATGCTTATAATTCGTTTTTCTCTAGCCTGGGTAGGTCTGATAGGAGCTGTTGCTTGTGGTATCCCAGGGTTTGGCCAACCCTTATTATAGAACAAAGCTGGATAGGTTGAGAACCCTTGTATAGGTTGGGGCTGAAAAGAAAAGCTAAAATTATATATTCGCTTAGACATCTTTACAAAGAATAATAAAAATTACTACCACTGACACCAGTGGGACTTGAGGTTGGACCACAGGAGCCGTTTGTTGGACTCCAATAACTTTGCGGCATTTGGGGTCTCAAGGGCTGTTGTAATTGGTTCATATGAGGACCATGAAGTGTCGGAACTGATTGGCTTCCAGGTCAATAGATCATGTGAGACCCAGCTCCTTGAATTTGTAGAAGACTTGATGACCAATCGAGAACAGCAAGCAAACTGACTGCTGGTGATGGACTTCTCAAAGGCATGGACCCTGTAAATCATAGTTTGTTTTAATACAAACTTCAAAGATATGGGATCCAAGGCACTATCAATAAATGGATCTCTAGCTTCCTCAGCGACCGATGCCAGGCAGTAGTGTTGGACGGTACAAGCTACTCCTTTGTCTGTGTTAAGTCAGGGGTCCCCCAGGGGCTCGTGCTAGGCCCCTGTTTGTTCCTAGCATACATCAATGACCTACCCAAGAAAGTGACATCCCAAGTAAGACTGTTCGCAGATGACACCATGATGTATAGGATGATCACCAACAGATCTGACCAGGACCAGCTACAACAAGATCTCAATCGATTAGCTGATTAAGAGATGAGCTGGGAGATTTAATTTCATACTGCCAAGTGCCAGACACTCAGTCTCTAGAAGTGGTACTCCTCTATACCACCATTACGAACTGCATTGCCATATACTTGAGCCAGTTTATTCCGTAAGGTACCTCGGTGATACCATTTAAAGAGAGGTCAGCTGGGACAAGCATTTTAACAATCTGTGCAATCAGGCAAACAAGACCCTGGGGTTTTTAATGCAAAATCTGAAGATCGGCAACTCCAGTGTGAAAGAAAGAGCCTATAAAGCCTTTGTCTAGCTGCTTTTAGATTATGCATCTTCAGTAAGTGATCCATTCACCCAGAAGAACATTGGAGGCCGTCCAATGACGGGCAGCATGCTTTATTCTGAACCACTACAGGAATACCTCAAGTGTTGGCAGCATGCTGGAAACACTGGGCTGGTCACTATTGGAGGAAAGAAGACGATTATCCAGGCTCTCCATGATGTACAAGATAAATAATGGGCTGGTCCACTGCTCCAGCATTAAACAGAAAATCATCCCCCCTCCCACCCCCCCGACAGCGACGAGGCCACGACATGCAGTTCCGGCTCATAACAGTAAGAACACAGAACAGGAACTGCTCATTCCTGCCAAAGACAATCACGGACTGGGACAAACTTCCAAAAAGAGGCCACAACACTCTACACATTTGTGTCTATTGCCTCGGGCCTTCCAAACCCAAATTCCTGACACCCTCGTTGAGTAGCCCTTGCAACCAGTGAAATATCCTCTTCAATACCAGGCACAGAAACATTGCAAATCCCAATACATACTTAGGAGCCAGAATGATCAATACATTTATCGAGGGCCCTTAACATATAGAAGAAGAGAAGAAATGCAAATTGGCCAATTACTAGCATCTGCATCAAACTAAAAGATTTATGACAGTGATCTTGGTAAACCAGGCTTATAGGCCTATTTGTTACCAAAAATTGAAAAGGAGGGAAATACTGAAAGACCAATGGTATCAGCTTGCCCTTGTTATACTGAATTAATTTTTGACTCTTTACATGAAAGTTTCCAGCCCATAGTCTCACATTTGCTATCGTATGTTGAAGACACTAGCCACATTATCAAATCTCTCAAGTCCTTGGTTTTACTGAACAAAACCCACTCCCTTTTTACAATGGACTTGTCTTCCCTGTGCAAGTCAATTCCTCACAGATTTCATTTCATTTTTTTCTTTTTTCTGAATAAGAATCCTAATCCTATGTTTCCAACAATTGCTCTTGTACATTTGACTCGTTTGAATTTAATGACGATTTTTAAAAAAAATCATATCAGTGGTGTTGCAATGGGGAAGAAAATGTGATCAAGTTGTGCATTTTTATTGATGAGCCTTTTGGAACAAAGATCCTTTCCCAGAATATTACAAGAGATAGATAGATGATTGCATAGGAGTTCCCTGCTATACTCATTGTCCTAACCTCAGTCATGAAAAAATTTCATCCCTCTTTCTCTTTAGCTTAGACTATGAAGAGTGTGCAGCAATGATGAGGATTTTTGGGAAAGGGAGGCTGATGTGTTGGATTTTTTTCAACATAGATTCTATCCTGAGCCAATTTTAAAAGCAGCTGTCAATCGAATTTAAGGTATAACAAGACAGGATTCATTTACAGCGACTCATTCTGACAGTATGGATAGGTCTAAATTCATTTTCATAACCTAATGCTCATTATCTAGTTATAAAAAACCGGTCCATTCTTATGGCCAACCCAGTCACCAATGAGATTTTCAAAAAAAAACATTTTTCGCTTTCTGAAGTGACAAGAGCCTTAGTGACTTGCTTCTTAGAAGCCATCTCCCTGCTACTAAAGCACATAAAGGCACCAAAAGTTGCAGCCATAGCCGCTGCAACACACATGATTAAAGTTGAGAAGATCACTTTCCCTCTGGAAATATCCAGAATCAAAGATGGTTTTACTTGCACAAGTCACATCATCATTTGTAAAAAGTGCGGAAAATCATACTTGGAGAGACAGGTCATCCCCTTGGAGACCGTTTTATAAAACACATGGATAACATCAATAAACATGCCCTTTATCCCGTTTTTAAACATTTCAAGAGTGCTAAAAATAATTTGATATTGAACATTGTAGATACTGGTATATTATATGCAAGTAATACACCTGATCGAATTTATATGGAAAATAAATAAATAAATAGATTTGGTACATTAAATCCATACAGTATAAACCAAATGAAGTGGCTATTCGCACCTGGGTACCAGAAGTGAGAGGTTGGGATTAAAAAACTATTTAAAATATTATTGTTGGGTTTGTAAGACAAAATGTGGTATCAAATGAAAGATAATTGAATGGACTATATGTTTGTAAACTTTATTCTTCAGCTTAACTAAAATAAACTACCACAAATGACAACTGAATAGCATTTAGTCAAAAAGGACCCGGGCATGCATCGCCGCCATTCACACTCCGGTCGAATAGTCGCAGCTTAACCCAAATTCAGTATTAAATAGCTGCGATGTCTCTTTCATGTTTGATTTTTTAATTTTACTTCCATCCCGTTCCTAACCTTTCTTCTTAGCTTTGTTTTATGTCAGGGGCTTGTGCACATTCTTATTCTTTTCTTTCATTTTTAGGTAGAATATATATGTGTGTGTGTGTGTTAATATAATGTTTACTTATATGAATGTCTTTTAAAACAATTTTTTTTTGTTGTCATGAAGAAAGCATTTTCCAAAAAGTTTTCATTCGTATTCTGTGTAGTCGTTATTTAAATTTTACCTATACTGCTTTATTTACACAGATTGTTTGTATCTCATTAATCTGCTTGAAAGCTTTGACGCGGTCCAACACTCTCATAATTAGTGAATTGTATAATGGAGCTGGAGTAGATTGACAAATTTGTTGAGGAGGTTGGGTTAAGCCAGGCCGCATCATATGAGACATGTTGGGACGTGTGAGTGCAGCAGCAGCATGAGCTGAGTTCGCCTGGTTCACTTGTTGGGGAGGGGGGGGGGGGGGGGTGGTGGTACTGACTAGATTGCACTAAAGCAGAAGAAGCACCTACTTTTTGTGTGTCTGTAACACTGCTGGTCTCTTCTGGAAGTTTTAATCTATCAGTTAAGGTTTTACAACTTTCTTGATTGCCATGATTACCCTTCAGTAAGAAAAAGACATAAAAAAGAATAATAATGATTACTTTAAATCAAATGAATCAATAAGAGCAGTATGTTTTTTCCTGGCATGTTACCTTAATTAAATTGATTTCAAATAATTCATATTATTTTCATCTATACGGGCTTTCAGACCTTTTGCCCATCCTTACGTATGCCATTATCCATATGTTCTGGTGTTTCACCCTTAATATTTTGGTTTCTTTTATATATTGTTACATACCATTATAAGGTTTTGCAAATTTAATCGTGGTAAATTGTTTTAATATTTGACTCTTCAGATGAACAATAGGTGACATAAGTCTGAAAACCAGTATACAAAGAAAAACAAGACCAAATCTATTTATATTAACAATATCCAATTTAATTATACTATATTTTAAGTTTATATAAAAATTACCAAATCAAATATATATAAATAAAAACTATTAACTTACAGCAAAACAAGTGAAAAAGTATGATTCTTGAAAGCTGCTACAATTATTAATACACACATATACACACATAAATAGTCAAGTCGTGTTAAGTCTCCTATAAGTATAATACCATATCTAGTGTCAAGGAAATTTTAAATCTCTTCTGGCTGGGAAGGCTGCTGGCTTATTTATAAGGATCACAAAGTTATAACCCTAATTCAAATATTACATAAATACAAATAGAATTATTTTCCGGTTTTGAACCCATTACCGCATAAACAAAAAGGCGCTATCATAGCGTATAAACCAAAGCGTTAGTCAAGAGATAGTAGTTGTGGTGGAATTCATCATCATCATCAGTGGTGCTACAGCCTGTGTAGGGCCATATCCAACACATCCTTCCATTCAGATCGATCCATGTCTTTCTGCCTCTATGCATGAACCCCCAACTGGTGTAAGTCCTTCTCTAGATCGTCAATCCATCTCAATGTTGGTCGACCGGTGAGCCCCTAGGTTTCTGCCTTTGGCCGAATTAGTGGCATAAAAAAGTGTTTGCCTTTTTTTGTTTGCCATCAAAGAAAGCTCACAATCTTGCAACACACTGCACTTGAGTTCTTCAGGTGATAATTTTTGCTTTGTTTAATTTGATTACTCTACTTAAATTTCCATTATTAAGCGATGAACACTGTTGTGTTTGTTATCAGTCCCAAATTTTAAAGGGGCTTACTGCATTGGCTCTGAATAAAATAATTTCAACTGTTGTCTCTCTTAGTGTCAGTTTCAGATATGTTACAAGAATTTGTTGATAAAATTGAAATTTTGTTCAAGAGCTTTGACACCAAACATTACATTTTTTGTGTGGTGAATTTTGCATTCCTTTTGGTTATTGAGTTTTAATTTTCTTAAGAATTAGTTTTAATAAATTTGAATTCCAATCTGTATATTTTCTAACATGGAACATCATATATTATATTTTAATCCTATGTCTAAAATCAAGGCTTAGGTTCATCAATCAATCAACGTCTAAATGGCTTAATTATTAAAGACAAATTTACAAGCGTAAAAATAAAAAGTCGTTAAATGTAGACAATCATAATCTGTATACATTATAAAGGAATGTATGTATGATCTAATTTTAATACACAGTGTGAAAGGAATCAATTATGATATACAACTGACTCTACTCTGTTGTGTCCACTGGTATCATTTATACCAGAATACATTTTAGTTTTTAGTACGCAAAAGAAAAAAGGAAGAAAGAAAAAAGTGTGTGTGGGGGGGGGGGGGGGGTAAAAAAAAAACTGTGATGTGTATAAAATATGTGGGAGGTTCCTTACCTTAAATATTTCTGGCTGTGGCTGTTTGGTAGTATTGAATTTTTTGTCAATATCTGCTGATTGGTTTAAAAAAAAGAAATGGTCATGACTATATGATAAAGATTTACTTTGACATTTCAGAAAAAGTCTTAAGTATCGTAATTGAAGCTTTAGATTTGAAAATTTGTCTGCTTCTTAAAATTATTGCTAGATGAGCATAAAATGCAAAACCATTTCCTAAAATACCAAATAATAGAATTAGCACATGCAAAAATCTGAATTTGAAAAGTTATTGGAAAATGTTTGCCTTGTAAAAACAACTGATATACAAGATTAATAAAAGAGAAAGTATTTCCAATAGGGTTTGTCATTTAATGGTGGAAATCTTTTAATAGAAAATCTAAGTGTACAGTCTGGCCAATCTCATTAAGATATTAATAAAACATCCTGTTATTTCGCTTGGGCAATCTGTCAACAGCTGTTCCTTAAATTTTTGACAATGTGAACCTTAACGTAGACTTAAACACGTTTACAACTTTATTGTATCAAAGATTTTACAAACAAATTGTTACAGCTATATATATGCGGAAATACATTGTTAGAAGCCATGTTTTATGAAAATATTGTCTAAAAATAGTAACATTGTGTAATGAATGCAATGGGACAATTAAATATGACAAACCCTATTATGTTTCTGGCAATTCAAATCATCCATAAAAGAGCATTTGTGGAGGCGGAATGAAGGAGAATGTTACAAAAACTTTATCAAGGTAAAATAAGGCTTTCTAAGCTGTTTGATCATGAACTGGTCTGTTGTTGTTTGGTTTTTTTTCCTGCAAGTTCAATTACTAAACATTATTTCATAAGTGCAATAGAAAAGCTCATCAGAAATATAAGGAAGTATATGATCAACATGTTGATTTCCAGACTGTAAAACAGTCAATGAAAATAGAACACAAATATTTTATGAAAAAACCAGCCAGTAAGACAAGTAAGATTGCATATACTAGTTGGGTTCAATATCCATTCTAGATGATGACATTCTGTTTCCCACCGCCGGCTCAACATTAAAAAAAAAAAAAATATTGTCACTATATAGGTCTACATAAAGCTGTTGGTGAGCTTAGGGAGACAATAGCAATTAATAGCAGTGTATAAACAGGAATGATACACAGACAATACTAGTTAATGGACATTTTAACCGCATCCGGATATTTTATCGAAAGAAATTTGGTCGAATCTTTTTTTCAGTTCACACGTTAAAATTCTGCTTCAAATTTCTTTTTGAACGCATTATTTTGTTTAACTATATAGTATAGTGCATTCGAAAAGAAATTTGACTAAAATCCATGAATGTAAATATTTTGCATCCACACTACAGACCCCCAAATCAAGTACTGACTACATACATGTGGCAACCCTCACCCTCCCCCCCCCCCCAATCTAGACATTGGACTCTGTAAGTTCTGTGTGTGAATCATGCCAGTAATAGTATTGGTGTTTAATTCGGAAATTCACTATGAATATTAGAAATACAAAATTGACTGTAAAAAAGTGTTTGAACATTGTTGACTATTGAATAATAATATTGATAACAAATGATTAAAATTTCGTAATAGTTCAATAATTCTTCAAATTTTTGTAGCAAATCAAATAATCAGACTCAGGGATTATTCAAAGAGTGAATTTTAGTATGTTATGATTTTTTAAATTTTATTTTCAGGTGTGGCTGGATGGCTGAATGGTCATAAACGGTATAATTCCATACTTGTGCATTGGAGTTAAATTCCCAGCCTAATGCAGACATTTGTATAAAACTAAAAAAAAAAATCCCCCACCCACCCTCTTCTCTTATTACCAAAGAAATAAAACAAGTAATTGTATTTTTACTTTCCCCATATTACTTTTGTCACCTGCAGAATTTCAAAAGCAGGCAGATGGGAGATTTTCTTTTGTAAAAAAGAAAGAAAAAAAAAAACCCAACTCACTTTGATTGAGTAAAACACCTTTAAAGTATATATAGACAGCAATCAGTAGGCCTATATTATACACTTTTTACTATACCATATGAAAATGTGATAGCACTGTAAACTTAAATTTGTTGCTAAAATATAAATTTGCATTTAATAATGTTGAAAGAATTTATAATTAAAGACTAAAGCATGTGTAAAGAGTTAGAATGGGTGCAGCACCACACTTGGTAAAACTTATTTGTCAGCTGCGTCCTCAACTCAATAAGAGAACAGCCAATGCTTTAGCGGTAACTCTAATCCAGTCAAGATTAGATTACTCTAAAAGTTGTTTGTGGGGTTTACCTCAGAACCAAATTCAGAGACTCCTGAAGGTACAAAATACTGCAGCACGCATTATATTGCGGATAAAGAAATCTGACCACATCACCCCAGTTCTACGAGATCTCCATTGGGTTCCTGTGAGTGAGCGCATTAATTACAAAATTCTGTCCCTGTCAAGGTAATTCGATTTTTTTTAAAGTGTTACCCAAAGAGAAGAGGATTTTGTTCTTTCTGGCTGATACATAAATTTTAAAATATTCAGAATTTAATTTTGCAAAGATTTTAAATTGAATTTCACTACATTACCATTTGTACCTTTTTCTTTATTTTGCTCTTCAGAGCTAGTCCTGTTGTCTTTTAAAACTGTAGATGAGTTGGCTTTGCTTTTCATAACATGGTCTGGATCCTGAAGAATTTTCCCTTTTTCTGGCAACAGAGTTTTAGAACTATGAATTGGGGCAGCAGCTGCAGAACTGGACTTAGTATTTTTTAGTCGAGCTTCAGCCTGAAGGTTTGATTCTGCATCAGGTTGTTCGGAGGATTCAAGTCTAGTTGTGAGAGACTCTGATAAAAGTTGCTGTGAAGCATTGATTAGAACTAATCAAATTGGAGGACTAAAATGCTAAACAAAAGTTTAAGTGACATGGTAACTTTCAACTGTCGGTTATGATGTGCTTATTATAATAAATGCTTCAACTGAAAAGAAATTGGGACATTTTGTGTTTAATGAAGTTTTATATGAAAGTTTTAAAAACTCAAGAAAATTTTAATTTTAAAAGAGTGAGTTATCTACATGTTCTTAAAATGAAAGTAAGCTGGATATAAATATATACAGTAGAGCGTCAATTTTACAAAAACTTTTTATCCAAAACATTGGGTGCATAAATTCAGGCATTGCTCCAGGGGCAGTTGTTGCTTGCCCCACCCCTGTCCATGGATGTAATGTTCATTGTTTTTTTCTTTTACCTGGTGTCCAAGAGTTTTTATCTGACGTTGAAGATTGATCAGCTGACATCCATGCCCTTCACAGCTTTCACGTAAGCCATTGATTTCACAAGCTATGCTGGAGAACTGACAATTATTTTTGTCAGCCTGGCTTTCCAGGTCACATATTTTTAATTTCAATGAGTCTGTATTCTTTGTCTGTTCATTTACTTGATTTGTTACTATAGAGGAAAGGTTATCTGTTTTATGCATTAAATGATTAATACTAGTGTGTATTTTCTTTTCTTTCTCCTCCCACTGATTTATCAGATAAGATGAGTCTTGGGTCATTTTTTCAGCTTGCATTTCTAAATGTGTAAAACGTTCATCTCTTTGTGCCAATGAATTTGAAAATTCCATTGAAAGTTTTTGGCTTATTTTATCTACAAGGTCGCTTACTTGTGGAACAGAGCCAGCGCTGTATGGTTCTGAAAAATTTGTAAAAACATTGAACGTTATCTATGATCTTAGACCAGTTTTTTTAAACATATGTGCAGCAATTTTCTTTTGGGTATACTTGATTTTCAAACATATAAATTTAATGTTTACAATTTGCAATAAAATAAATCACTTGTTAAATTTTAGAAATTAAACTTTGACCTTATGCTGTAGGTCCATTTGAGTGAAAAATTTCTTTAAATTTATTTCTAAATATTAATTCATTTTTTTCTTAAAACTTACTTTGAATTTGTGAATCAATTTCAACTAAAGTACTCAGCACATAATCCAAATAAGAACTCATCTCTCGAAATCTTTCGGTGCTCAGCTCTCCACTTTCTGATACTGATGCTACATCATTGATTGGCTACGAATCATTAAAAATAAATGATTACAAATATAATATATATATAATATATATACATAATTGCAGGATGTACTTAAACATTTTAAAAGTAGATACATAATTTATACTACCTCTCTTATTATACCAATTAAGACATTTAAAGAGCAACCCAGGAATGTTTTCTTGAGTATTGTTTTTGTGAGGGATAAAGAAAATATTAAAATATAGTTATAGAAAGAAAAGTAATACATAAATTAAATAATAGGGGCCTGCTACATAGTTTATTGCGACATGCAAAAGTTTTGTTCCAGATGAAATGACTCCAAAATTATTTGCTACAGCCTCAAACCTCTTCAGTCATTGCTAAGAAATTGTGCGGAATTAAAGAAGGGAAAGTGCTGTGTAGTCTATGTAGTAGTGTATTGTAAATTGTAATATCTGAGTCAAACTGGGTGCTTTGTTTCATATTCATAATTTCGCATTCTCAGAGTAGCATTTCTAATACTTTAATTTAATACTTTCACTCAGAAATAGAGTAAATAGAAATTTTCCTGTAAACATGATTAGGCCTATTATTAATACTATTATTATTTTAATTATGAAACTGAAAATAGAACCTTCAAGTAAGTATAACAAAGTGGTAATTCCTTACCGCTGTTTTCACGCCTGATTTACAGCAAAAGAATGTGTTGGGGGGTGTAAACAATATTTTTTAATTATTCAATTAAATGGACAGCTTTGGCTATTTCTGTATTTAAAATTAGTCTGCCGGCTAATGCTGGTTTACATACTTTTAAAGAATGACTTTTCGGGATTTCCCCAAAAACGCAGGATAAATAGTTGTCCACCGTGGAAATTCGAGAGTAGTTGTAGGCCTTTGCCGAAACTATTGTCAAAGTCTCATTTTAAATACCTTATTTACGAAACTCTCCATTGAATTAATAAGTCCAGTCCTTACGTCCTCGATTTCTTGAACCTTTAACTGCAAACTACGAATAAGCTTTTTACTTGGTAGAGTTTGGCTCGTCATTTTGGCTTTCAGCTGAAACGATTTGGTCGGTGGAGCTTATTTCTAGGAACTATAACTAGGCCACTGCAGCATTTTTAATTAGTAGGCTATGGTACACTTATAAATTGTGGCCAGGTTTAATGATTTAGCACCGACAGGAGTACACATTTCACTACGGCATTAAACATTAAATATTTTGGAGGCCATTCATATGCTTTAAGGGTCTAAGTCTTAAAAGAGATGTATTTATTAGTGTCACTGACCCGTCTTATTAATTGGACATTAGAAATGCGTGTACCATCAAAAAGCAAAATAGATTGTGTGAACATAGGGACCGTCCATAATGTTTGTCATGCTCTGGAGGGGAAGGGGTCTAAGAAAGTGTAACGATTCGTGACCCCCCAAAGGGGGGGGGGGAAGACATGTGACGTCAAACACATTTTAAAAAAATGTATCATGCAAGTAAAACTTGAAATTGACAGTGATGTTTAACTTTCTGATGTGATGGATGAATTCTGATAGCAGATGTCACTTTTACAAACCTTTAGTTAAATGGGGAACTGTGTTTCAGATAAAATTTTAATTCGTTGATAATTTTTAAACAATTTTTTATTTCGAAAATGTGACGCACAAAGGGGGTGGAGTTATAGCTTGCCCTTGCTGCCTTTATTGTGTCTAATTTTGGCGCTGATAAATACACCGGCCAGTAGCGTAGCAAGGGTTAGTACCGCCCTACTATGATAAAAAAATTTGCAGAATAACGTAAATACCACCCCACTATAAAAAAAAAAAAATGCCTTTTTGGGGTAAACACCTTCNTGTTGTTTTTTTTTAATTTTTTTTTTTTTTAAATTATCCTTCTAGGGGCCGCCCAAAATACGTCACACTTTTGAACAAAATTAAAAAAAAAAAAATAACGCCTAATTAAGCCACTCAACATCCTCTGAATGTGCATTTTCTTTTCTGGCAATAACTGCCATGAGTTCTCTTTGCCTTCTAGCAGCGAAGGAAGGACGGATGAGTTTTATCTGAGTTGATTCTGGAACAGTTTGGGTTGGCACATTCTCCCGAGCCCGAGCTCTGTGTTGTCCTGCATGTTTCTTCGACATTGTTTGTGAGGCAAACTATAAGTATAAGTAGCATACTTTGCAAATTCGATCAAGTAAGCTGGTCTGCAAAGATGAACAAAAATAATTTTTATAATTATTGCTTTGAACCATCAAATGTTCTCTGCTGAATAACCGACTTTATCGCTCAGAAAAATGACAGTATAACTATCTGACAAATCTCTTAATTAATTCAATGAAATCTTTTAAATCGAAACGTAAGCCATGTCTGCAGTCTGCACTCACCTACTTCCGGTTATCCTACCGAAACTCCTCCGAGCTGCCCCCAATGACCACACAATAATTTTCTGCTTTCTTTACCATAATATCCCCTTCCCTCTTCAACCCTAACCGACAATTTCTACCCCCAAACCTGCTGCCCTTATAATTCTCACTACAAAATTTCCATTACCCTCTCCCTGTACGCAAATTTATTTTTCTTGAACTCCTGCACTTTTCCTCATAATTCAATTGCATTTATCTAGCTTCTCACCCACTCTCACATCTTATCACCCAGCTTAATTATTTCCCTTCCTATCACACCGCCTTCCCCAGTTGTGCCCCCCCCCCCAATCCCCTAAACCTGTGCTCTTTCCCTACCCTCACATAAAACCACCAACCTGCCGAATTTTTTTTTTTTTTTTTTTTTCTAGTCAAAACGTCCATTAAGAACATTTATACAGCCACCCATTTATTTTAAATTTAGCCTCATTGAAATGTGATAGCGCTTCAAAGTGAAAATAAGGGCAATTAAACTCCTTCGAGTTGTGGAGGATGGACTAAACTCGTCTCCTTGGTTTACAGGCTACCCAATCATTTTGGATTATCCATTAATCAGGAACAGTTTTTATTCAGGATGTAAAATATAAAAAGGGTGGTTGGAGATCTTGGCGAAGCACAAACTCAAGACAGACCCGGCGGCCAAACATACTGTAAGGCCTTGCAGAAATATGTCATTATCAACATCGTCACATCTCATCTTTCATTATGCTGACCACCCTGGAACATAATTTAAAGTGCTTTACTTTTATTGCACCGAAAGCATGTCTTGCCCCAAGCGGGACGCAGTTCTTTTCTCAGTTTGTGACCCGTGACAAAAAAAAAAAAAATAATATTAATAATTCCTCGCTGTCTCTTGTTTGGCGGATGACTCTCTGTTTGTTTCAACATCCACTGGCATGCACTACTTTCTGGGCCATTTCTTTGGATGCCGTGTGCAAGTTGTACTTTCTGACTTTAAAAAACAGCTGGCTAAGGTCCTGCTTTTGAATTTTGGTGTTGCTGATGAAATTCAATTTGAAAGTAATGTTGAAGTGATTATAATAAAATGCAATCCAACTATATTTTGCAAGGAAGGAAAGTTGACTTATGTAAGTGTCTCCCCGCAAAAAAAATTATAAATAGCATTTGCTTGTGAATTAATTTAATTTCTTGCTCTACCCACTTTAACGAGAAGACATTTTCAAAAATTAAATATTTAATATCTAGATACAGAGCATCCTTATCAGGGGTAGGACTTGTAATTCAAGCAGTTCTGGTACTGGTTTAAAAATATATTATGAGCAGTTTTGAAACCTCAAGCCAACTTCCAAAAAGCTATTTTCCAGCAGTTCGCCTGTAGATTCAGACTAACAAGTTTTACAAAAAAAATTGAAGAACAATAAGTAAGTTTAGATTTTTTTTAAAATAAGATGATTTTTTTCTGAATTCAATTATTTAAATGTATTTACAAACGAAAACAAAAAATACAATTGCATAAAATTATGCAAGTTTAACAATCCAGAAAAAATAAAAGGACAATACAGTGCATTCATTATTTTTTCGCATTCAGGGAATTCATTATAAACCGAAATACCCATTAAATATACCAATTACCATGAACTTTTTGACTAACTTACCAGCTTAATCTTATTAAACTGATCAAACTCTCTCCCTAAAACTTGAATGATGCCAAGACATTAGAAACATTTGCTGGCAGTTCACAAGACCTACTGAGCATAGACAGATACCGAGGCAACTAAATGTATGTCACCAGACTTTCAAAATAAAACCCTTCACCAAATGATTTTTAATGTTGATTTCTTTCGACCACGGGCAAGTAAATATAACATAAATGGTTGGATGACATAAGTTATGCATCATTAAATACCTAGACCAGAAAAAGAGGATGGTTTTTGTAATATATTTGTAACAGAATGATGCTATAAATTATTTACATTGACAAATAGTCACACAACGTATATTGTCTTCATTTAACACTGCCATACATCATTTCATTTCTGAACTGTGTACACCTTGAAATATGTGGACAGATGATGGGATCTTCAATCCTATTTCACAAAAACAACCTTTTAACGTCACAGTATACACATGCACATACTCATATCATAAAATGATGATAAAGTGAGTCCCCATGGACAATGTGATGACTTCATTTTCACAAGCTTTTGAAAACATTGGAGACTTATATAAAAATGTCTGGTACATGTCTAGTAAACACATCCTGCAGGGTTTCGGGGGGAAAAAATGTCTGGTAGGCCCACTTGAAGCAAATCCTGCTAGGTATCCCCCCGATCAAGAGATAAGGCAAGAAGAATTTTAACATTTGCAATGATTGGTTCAATATCTCAGAAAACATATTAAAATTTGCAAATCATACATAAAGCAGAAAGAAAAGGCAATAACCAAACTCTTTGCAGATTTCTACATACTCACAGAGATGCAGGCAAGTATTAAACCTAAAAATATGTCACTGTTATTCACACAAACTTAACATTTCCAAGGGTGCCTTAAACCACAATATTGTATTATGAATGTACACACATTCATTAAAATGTAGACACAAAAATTATTAAGCAGTGGCAGATTAATAACTATACCACTAGTAATTTTAAGTTAACTTTTAAGTTCATTATGTAAATCTTATGCATCAATGAAGCAATTATTGACATCTTAAAGAAGATTGTTTGCTTTATTTAAATTAAGATCTACCCAAGCCAGAGTTATTTTCTCTATTTTTTAAAATTATATTTCTGGACTTGCAGTATGGCCAGTATTTTGACTTTAAATATAAATATTACCTTTATAGCCTAAAACTTTGCATAAGCTTGAACTTTGACATGGGCAGGATAAACAGAATTTATAATTATTTATTATTATTATTATTATATTATTGGCAATTTATAATTTACAACCTCATTGTTGCATTTAATCATCTTTATCTTTAAATTTAAGAAAATTTAAGAAAAGAACATTATTACAAGACAAAATAATCTAAAATATAATTATTTTCAAGAGGATGCATCAGGCTCATCATTTTCTCTTAACCATGCAAAGAAATGTGCGAGATGCATGGAACAGGCCCCTTTCCCTTCAGCTTCCAAAGGATCAGTGCTTTTCTCCCATCTTTTACAGGCTTCTTCACTTATGACCTCTTCATCATACAGAACTTCAAAGAGTGATACAATGACACCTGCAGAAGCAGAATTTTTATATACTTGTAATGTTTGCTTTTCCATAATCATGTTAAATGTATCATATGTTTACTGTGAATTACATTTTGCTCCAACACATAGCAAATTGTGTGTGTTAAAAATACTAACCAGATGGGTGTTCTAATCGGTGCATCAGTGTTTGAATGGCATACAAGGCTTGGAGTTCCAGCTCTTGATTGCTTTTGATATAGTTGTGTAATGTATCTTTATGATTTTTGATCATATCCTCATTAGCTTTCATAGCAGCTGGAATAATAATGAAAAATATTGTGGCCTGTCATACAAAATTAACCATTTGTCCTAGAGCTTTTATGCAACTTGTAAAATGTTTCAATTCACTCATTGATTGGCATAAAGGTAGTGTACATTTTTCACATGCATGTAAACAATATGCAAATTCATAACTTTTAAATCTATTTGATGAGCATGCATAGTTGTATGCTTTC